CAGAGTGGTGGGAAGCAGATCAAAACAGAGCCATGTTCTGGAAACCACAGGCAAAGAGAGTGCTGTAGATGAAGGAAACACCGACAGTTGAACAAAAGGCTTCCATGGCAGTATAGCAAATCCACACTTTCTCCTTCCCGATCCCACATCTCTTCTCTTACAGGACATCGATTGCACTTACGGGTGGTAGCAGATACTATCCGCTTCAAAGACTGGAGACCCCTCTAGTGGGCTAACTTTGAGTCGTACGTATTATATAGTAGCCTGTTTCCCAGATTTCCCATGGGATTAAGCTCTAGGAGCCCACCAGGGTCACTCCTTTAATGATGGAAGAAAGAATGTGCTTTTTATAATTTAAAATGATAGATGGTTGAAGCCCATAGTTACGGGAAAAATTTGAGGTTCCAGGAAAAAAAAAAAATCTCATTTTGTTTAAGGCTAGTCATGGTAATGGAAAGTGCAGGGCTAGTTTTTAGTGCTGCCCTGATGCTACCTGTACTCATCTGTCTCTGGCCAAGCATGGACACTAAGAACTCAAAGAATCGGTATTGCATTATGTCTCCCAAATGAACGCACGACTCAATTGGAGAAATTCAGACTATGTTTTACCAAGATCCCGAAACTACAGTTTTGCTGCTGATGAGCTGAAATGGTTGCTACGGGCAATCAGAGCTGGACAAAGCAAATAAGGTAGCAGAGAAAGGAAGAGGGGAATGAATGGATAAGATAACTAAAGTCCTTTCAGGACATGGATGGAGTTCTCTTTAGGCCCACAGAAATGCCGTTCAGAAAACTGCCTTCCATATACGATCACAGACAAGGTGGGAGGCTGAGAGTGATTGACGGACCTTGAACTTGAGCCCCCTGAGTTCTCACACCTCAACGAGGGAAACACACAGGAATGTTTATTTTAAAAGCTCTGCAGAACAGTTCCCACACCATTGTCACTTTAGCACAGGATATTTCCTCTAGGAGACCTGGTGTTAACACAAGATAAGAAGGATGAGACGACTATGTATCCTTCTGCATGAGAACAAAGTGTCTCAGGAGTTGCCACCGATTTAAAGGAGGCTAAGGGGGGAGAAATTGAATTTACAGAGCCATGCATTGGGAAAAGCAGCCGGTACAAGTGGTGGGTTTGGGCTCGATTCAGTCTCAAAAGACATTCGAGAGCTCTTTTGCAGAGGGGGCTGTAACAGAGGAGATTAATAAGGATTAATAATCAAATCCCACGATGGTCCGTTGGATGGAGGAGTGAACCTGGAGGCTGGTTTTAAAATAAGCTGGGAATGACCTCCCCGAACCTGAGTTTCTTAATTTATAAAATAAAGATGATAATAGCTCAGAGATTCATTCTGGAAGCAAAATAAACTACAGTTGTGAAAGCGCTTTGGAAGAGAAGACAGGGCACATCATGTAAAGGGGGGGATCACTATTTTCTTGGGGGAAATAATCTCACAAGTCGGAAGGAGAAGACTGAGGAGTCCACGTTTGGTTATCCGTGATTTCACAAGCCAAGCAGGAAGGTGACGCCTAGCAGAAGTCCACAGTGTTTAATACTGTCACCAGAACGCGTTGGCTCTTCCTCTTTGCCAAGCGGGACCCTTTCCCTGTTAAAATATTCAGGATTCTGTTGGGCGCTGTGGCTCACGCTTATAATCCTAGCAGTCCGGGAGGCCGAGGCGGGAGGATCGCTGGAGCTCAGGAGTTTGAACTGCGTCTCTACTAAAAATAGAGACATTAGCTGCGTATCATGGCGCATGCTTATTTATAGTCTCGGCTACTCGGGAGGCTGAGGCAGGAGGATCACTTGAGCCCAGGAATTTGAGGCTGCAGTGAGCTATGATGATGTCGCTGCACTCCAGTCTGGGCACCAGAATAAGACTCAGTCTCAAAAAAAATTCAGGATTTTTTAATGTGATGGACTCCAATCTAGTGCATTGACTTTTTTTTTTTTTTTTTTTTTTGAGACAGAGTCTCACTCTGTTGCCTGGGCTAGAGTGCATGGCGTCACCTAGCTCACAGCAACCCCAACTCCTGGGCTCAAGCATCCTCCTGCCTCAGCCTCCCGAGTAGCTGGGACTACAGGCATGCCCACCATGCCCGCTAATTTTTTCTATATATTTTAGTTGGCCAATTAATTTCTTCCTATTTTTAGTAGAGACGGGGTCTCGCTCTTGCTCAGAGCTGGTTTCAAATTCCTGACCTCGAGCAATCCTCCTGCCTCGGCCTCCCAGAGTAATGGGATTACAGGCGTGAGCCACCGCGCCCAGCCTAAGTGCATTGACATTTTACTTGTGTCCCCTGCTTGATAAGGAGTCATAAGACCCTAACCAAGGTCTTTGATAAAACAGGAGGCTGTGGAGAAGATGGGCAAAGCCAGTTAGAACCCAGATGGCCACGAAAAAAGACCTCAAGTTACTCTTTGCATTTATTATACCCTGCTTATGATATATCGGCATACTTAAAAATACTCCCACCAGCCCCATGATAGTTTACAAATGCCATGGCAACTCCCAGAAGTTATATGGTTTATAAAGGGGAGGAACCCTCTGTTCCAGGAACCTTTCCGGGTTCTTCTTCTCTCTGCTTAACATAAAATTAAATAGAAAGCATAAAATAAGATCCTGGAAACTCACAAAGTGTGACTCTCTGTCACACTGAGAGAGAGCTGCTGACTTGTCTATGGGGCAGCCTCCCTTTTTATTTATTTCCTGGCTTTAATAAACTTGCTTTTTGCTTTGCTCTGTCCGCTTGCTCTTCAGTTCTTCCCTGTAGGAAGCCAAGAACCCACTTGGCCTTCAGGGCCAGACCTCAGGGGTCTGGGGTCTATTTTCTTTGTATCATCTTTCCCCAGAACCTAGTGTAGGGCAAAGAGAGATACTCACCCAGACCCCAAATTAAGGCCATATGGCACCCCATTCTGACCTGACCGATGGATGAGCTTTCTTTATTCAAGTCTGGTTGTTGCTCTGTGAATAACTAACATCTTGATTGATATGCCCTCGGTACATCCTGTGTTTTGTACTCCTTCCCTTTCTTACTGGCTAGACTACATGCTCATGCTTATTCTGCTACTGCTCCGTGTGTCTGACACAAAAGAAGACAGAAATGGAGGATGCAGGCATAAAAAGTCATTCAGAAAATAAATAGCAAAGCGACAGATGCAAATCCTAACTTACCATCGTTACACTAAACGTAAATGAATTCAACACTACAATAAAAAAGGCAGAGATTTGCCTGGTAGATGAAATACATGATCTAAATGTGTAGTGTATCAGAAACACACTTTATATTCAGAGACACAAATAGGTTGAAAGTTTCAAAATGGTAATTTTTAAATGTATATATGTTTACGTATATTCTGCTGTTTTGGGGTGGAGTGCAGTATTTTTTTTTTTTTCAGAAAGTGAGAAGCTAACCCTAAAATTCATACAGAAATGCAAGGGACCCAGAAGAGCTAAAATAATTCTGAAAAAGTTAAAAGATTCACACATCTCAATTTCAAAACGTACTGAAAAGCTATAATAATCAAGACAGTGGGTAGATAGCTAGGTAGATCAATGAAATAGAATTGAGAGTCCAGAAATAAACTCATGCATCTATGACTAACTGATTTTTGACCAGGGTACCAAGGGCCATTCAATGGAGAAAGAATAGTCTCTTCAACAGTTGGTGCCAGGACAACTAGATTTTCATATGCAAGTGAATTAAATTAGACCCTTATTCACACAGTACACAAAAATTAATTCAAAATGGATCAGTGACTTAAATACAAGAGTTGAATTCATATAGCTCTTAAAAGAAGACATAGGAGTCAATACTAGTGGCCTTATATTAACCAATTATTTTAGACATCAAAATAAAAGCACAAACAATGAAAGACAGATACATTGAACTTCCTGAAAATTAAAAACTTTTGAATTTCAAAGGACACCATCAGGAAGATGAAAAGACTTCCTCCAAAATGTAAGAAAATGTTTGCAAAGCGTATATCTGATAAGGCACTTGTATCCAGATTATATGAAGAACTCTTACAATTCAGCAATTAAAAGACAAATAACCTGATTTTAAAATGGACAGAGCATTTGAATAGACATTTCTCAATATAAAACATATAAATTGCTAATATGAACAAGCTCATGAAATGCTGCTCAGCATAATTAGTCATTAGCAAAATGCAAATCCAAATCACAATGGATATCATTCACTTCCACTAGGATGGTTATAAACAAAAAGGACAAAAACAAGTGTAGGTGTTGCGGTGGAAGGTAGTTTAAAAATGAGAAGAAGAGAGAAAAAAAACAGCATAAGTGAAAATGTAGAAATTATAACCCTCAAACATTGTCCGTGGACTGGAGTTTAAACTGGTACAGCCACGTTAGAAAACTTCTGCTGAAACGAAACAAATACACAACTCAGTTCAATCAAAAGATATGTACAAGAATAGTAATAGCATCGCTTTATAAGAGCTGAAAACTGGAAAACAATTCAAATTTCCATCAACAGTAGAATGAAAAAAATATGTATCATGATATAATATAATCACATATTAGAATGCTGCATAACAATGAGAATGAATGAGCCAAAACAAGATGAAAATGTTGTTACACTTGAATAAAAAATTCTAAAAATGGGCCGGGCGCGGTGACTCACGCCTGTAATCCTAGCATTCTGGGAGGCCGAGGCGGGAGGATCGCTCGAGGTCAGGAATTCAAAAACAGCATGAGCAAGAGCGAGACCCCCGTCTCGACTAAAAATAGGAAGAAATGAATTGGCCAACTAAAAAGTATATAGAAAAAAGATTAGCCGGGCAATGGGGTGCAATGCCTGTAGTCCCAAGCTACTCGGGAGGCTGAGGCAGGAGGATCGCTTGGCCCAGTAGTTTGAGGTTGCTGTGAGCGAGGCTGATGCCATGCCACTCTAGACCTGGGGAACAGGGTGAGACTCTGTCTCAAAAAAAACAAATTCTAAAAATGAAATGAAACAGAAACACTTACTTTGCTTCCCATTTTCCTGCCGTGGAGAGAAGCAAGCCCTGCTGACGTTGCTGTTTTCGCTTTGGTTCCTAAACTGGGAGCATTTGAGGAAACCAGGCCAGGTGTAGTTCACCACGCCCAGCACGGACTCACAGCCTTCCCGCGCCGCCTCGCAGAAAGACCTGCAGGGCAGCAGCCCGCGCCTAGAAGAAAGGGGAAGCGGAGAAAGTCAGTGTTTCGACAGAACACTTCTCAAATACTAATGAGATTAAGGAAAAGGTGGCCACCAGCGCTGTAAGCTAAAAATAACTTATATTTACTGTTTATTATGTTACTAATTGTTTTATATAATAATTTAAATTTACTATTTTATTATGTTACTAAGTATTTTATATAAATAACTTATATTTACCATATTTTACGTCACTAAATATACCTAATTTTATACTATTTTATTACTCATTATTATATATTTATATTACTATGATGTCTAGATATCGTTCATATATACGGTTTAATTAAGTTTACATATTTTATATGTTACTATTATTTGTTGTTTATAATCGTATATACAATCTTATATTTCTTATTATTATTGCGAAGTTACTAGATGTGTTATATATAATATAATACTTATTATTAGCTAATTTATATATTTTATTATTTATTTAGTACTCATTATTTTATAATAATAATTTTAGTTTACCTAATTTATTGTATTACTGACTATTTATAAATAAATTATATCCTTTACTTAATTTATTATGCTTTACTGGATTATGTATATATAATTTTTTATATTTACTATTTTTAATGTATGTTATATTTTCCATTATATAAAAAGTTATTAATATTACTATTTATGTTACTCATTATTTTATATAATAATTTATGTTACTATTTATTGTGTTACTGACTTATTTTATATAAATAATTTATATTTAACTATTTATTATGTTCTCGATTAATGTTATATAATATTCTAGTATTTACTATTTATTATGTTCTGATTATGTAGTTATATAATAATTTATTATATTTACAGTTTATTATGTACTAATTGTTTATATATAATAATTTATTATACCCTCATTACAATATGGTCAACAAACTTAACTTTCTTACTTCAGCCCCTTTGATGATTTCAGCACCACGTTATGTCTTGATTCTAGGGGGCAGGGGTCCTCAAACTCACGGCCCGCGGGCACACGCGGCCCACCGGAGGACATTATACCCGGGTGTTTTGTCGCCACTGCCTGTCCTGCTTAAGCAAGCCGACTCGTCCCGGGTCCACAGTGCGCTCTCTCCAACAGTCTCAGGAACAGTGAACTGGGCCCCTGTTTAAAAAAATATTAATCTTAAAACTACAGGTTAAAAAAAAAAAAAAAAAAAGTAAAAAGCTTGAGGACCCCTGCTTTAGAGAGAATGAGCTACCTCTCCAATATATCATCTACCTCTTGTAGAAGAATTTATCCCAAACAGTTTTTTTCTCAAATCTTTTTTCTTTTTAAGTTACCTGTCCTAAAATACACTTGTCAGGCAAAAAGAGCTCCATGTACTATATCAAAAGAGAAAAATTAACATGGAAATGAGGGCCACCAAATTGCAAAGGCAGAAGTAGGTCACAAATAAGTTATTTGCATATTTTTATTATCCCTTGGAGGAGATTCAAAGTATCTCCAAAAGACAGACAGAAACTGTTCCTTAACTTCCCTGAACCTCCTGGAAAAGGAAACATTATACAGACAACTAGAAACTTGAGAAGACTCCTCCAGTTATTAATCTTTCCAGATGTCTAGTCTGGCTTCTGCAAAGTAGAAAAATGCAAAACAATTGTCCCTTAATGGTAAGAGTAAGATGCCCCTGGAACTTGTCTTATTCGCTGCCATGCAGCCCAAACAAACACCCCTGGATCCATGAACTGGAGACTAAGACCGGGACAACGCCAAGGCCATTGCACCTGTTTCCTTGCAGACCCAGGGTGGCTTTCTCTGCTGCACAGCTACAGGCTCCATTTCCTCTCGCTCATCAGGAGAAAAGACATTTCTAATAATAGTTTATGGAAACTGTACGCTCCATCAAATCAGCATTATGCTTCCACAATGGAGATTAAATAACATATCACAGAACCTATAATATTAGGTCTGCAAAAACCTTAAAGACACTACTACCTCAAACCCTTCATTTGAGAGGCCGGGAAGATTCTGGTACGAGCTCAAGTCACAGAGCTCCCAATAGCAGAAGCATGAGCACCTACTCTCCCAAATGATCTCTTCCCATATAAGGCCTAGTATTGGGTTTTCAAACTCCCTCGGTCAAACAAGCCCATTTAAAATATCATCTGCATACTTCTTTATTAATTATTATTTTTGAGACAGAGTCTCACTATGTTGTCCAGGCCTAGAGTTGCTGTGGCGTCAGCCTCACTCACAGCAACCTCAAACTCTGGGCTCAAGCTGATCCTCCTGCCTCAGCCTCCAAGTAGCGGGCAACAGCATGCGCCCCACATGCCGGCTAATTTTTTTTTCCTATATATATTTAGTTGGCCAATTAATTTGGTTTCTATTTTTAGTAGAGATGGGGGTCTCCCGCTCTTGCTCAGGCTGGTCTCGAACTCCTGACCTTGAAGCGATCCTCCCCACCTCGGCCTCCCAGAGTGCTGGGATTACAGGCGTGAGCCACCAGCGCCCGGCCTTCATACTTCTTTAGACTACAGAAACATAAGGGATATGCCAGCCATTGAGATACAACAGAACCAACAGGGTCTGTAAAAGAATCTTGGGAGAGAGATCTTGCTTACATAAAAATGGAAAAGGGAAACTCAACAATTACTTTCGGGTAAAAATATTCACACCTTCTCTCAAAAGCACATGTTAAAACTGAGCATCCTTTAGAATCCTGATATGGACATAATTATCCACAAACATATGTAAGTGGATTTGATAGTGCAAATGTGGAAAATTTTCAGCAGAGAAGTCTGGCGTTATTCGGATTGGCTTTCCTTTTTATGTTACTTGCTTCTTTCACCTTACGGCTCGTAGAAGGGCCTGTGTAGTTAATATTTTGGTCAGTCTAGTTCAACCTCTGTGGAAAGCAATATGGAGATACCTCAAAGCGATACAAGTGGATCTGCCATTTGATCCAGCAATCCCACTACTGGGCATCTACCCAAAAGAACAAAAGTCACTTTAAGAAAGAACACCTGCACTCAATGTTAATAGCAGCACAAATTCACAATTCAAAGATGTGGAAACAACTTCAACGTGGCCCATCAATACACAAGTGGATTAATTAGAGAGGTTTTGCATTTGAAAAAATTAGTTTTAGGACACAAAATATGGATTGGTTGATACTCAGTATCTTGGTATCAACAAAACACCTGACTGCCATTCAGGAAATACAGACTAAGAAAGTATCACTTAAATAACATTGTTTTGAGATATTTCTTGTCGTACATCTTATTCCAGAGAGCTCAGAGACTGTAAATTCTCAGATAAAACTAAGACACACAGTTAAAGAACGTGGAGAACATAGAATTCCTATACAATTACTTACCCTTTGCCAGGCACTGCGCTAAGTACTACACATGCATGACCTCATTTATTTCTCATGACAGCCCTTTTGTTATAGGCACTGTGAACTGTCATCTCTAACACACAAATAAGGAAACTGAGGCACAGGAAAAATAAGAGGTTTGTCTAAGTTCACTGAGGTATGAGTGTAGAGCAGGATTAGAACTCGGGCAGTTGGACACAAGGACCACTCTGTGAACTACCACATTACAAGAAAGCCCTAACTTCATGAATGCATGTTTCAAAAGCACAATTCGGGGATAGTTTGAAACCTGATATGCACTTTCCCAGGGGCACAAACACATGCATGGTGGCTGGGATTTCCCTTCCTTCTACAGAATCGTAGTGAACCTACTGTGTTTCTCCAAAAATAAGAGCTACCCATCAAATAAGCCCTAGCAGGATGTCTAAGCATGTGCCCAATAGAAGCCCTACCCCGAAAATCAGCCCTAGTGATGGGTGTGGCTATGAAAATCAGCCCTAGTGATTGGGCATGCTGCGCAGCGCATCTGCACAACCCATGCTGTGTCTCGGAGCGGGAAAGAACACGAGCAGCCCTTCTCATCTGCCCCGTGAGAGCTCTAGTGCTCCACAGGAGAGATCGGGGCCAGTGGTTCTAAAGGAAATAGAGTCGCAAGACATTCAGGATGGGATTCGGGTTTGGAGAGTGAGGATGATGTTCCAGAAGAAGACGACTTCACTCTATTTGGATCAATAGATACGGTTGTACCGTACTTAAAAAAGATAAACACATCCCCTGAAAATAAGCCCTAGGGCGTCTTCTTGAGGAAAAATAAATATAAGACCCTGTCTTATTTTCAGGGAAACACAGTATAGTGAATAGTCACAGCATCTGCCAAAGGCGCTGAGGAACACATGGAAATGGTGTAGATGTTTCAGGTTTCTTTTCTAGGTGTGGTCAGCCCACAGTAGAGCTATAACAGACGCCAGGCGTGTCCAGGCATCCCTCCTTTGCCTCAGCCCGTGACCAGGGTCCCAGGGTCCTGATACTGTCCGACCTTCTCAACACCTGCACCCCACCCTGACGGCCCCTCCACCAGAGTGCTCAAAATATAGTCTTCCAGATAGATGCCTAATAATGCTATTGCAGGATCGAATGATATTTCTATTTCTAGCTCTTTGAGATACCCCAAAAGAGCAAAAGACATTCTATTATAAAGACATCTGCACCCACATGTTTATGGCAGCACAATTCACTATTGCAAGGACGTGGAAACAACCCAAGTGTCCATCAGTTCATGAGTGGATTATTAAAATGTGGTATATGTTCACAATGGAATATTACTCAATCCTAAGAAACAACAGCGAACTAGCACCGCTTGTATTATCCTGGATTGAGCTTAAGCCCATTATCCAAAGTGAGGGGACACAAGGTCAAAAAGGGCTCCACATTACTCGCCCATCAAATTGGTACTGACTGATTAACACTATGGTGCTCAAAGGGTGGTGGTGTTCACCAGGGATTCAGGGGTTGGTGGGGTGTAGACCCACATCTGAGGGATGTGGTGAGCATTGTGGAGGGCAAGGGCATACCCCTAACCCTTGCTAGGCAGAGGCAAAGATATACGATGTAACCAAAATGTTAAAAAAAATTTATCTGGCATCTGTTT